GGCGGGGCCCGCGGGGGAGGAGGTGCCTGCCACTGACCCCTCTCTTTCCCGGGGTAATTCCATGAATTGCACACCTGGCAAATCCCAAGCCCTGGGGACGTACCTGTGCAGGAGTGCCCTTCCTCGGGGTTTGCAGGGAGCAGGGAGGCATTTGCTTTGCTGCCCCAGACCCCAGCGCCCACCCAGACCCCTGACCCCAGCCCTTTTCTCCTCCCTCCCCATCCCATTCTTCCCCGTCTACCCTCCTGAGCCCTGGCTATCCCGTAAATCCAGAGGCAGAACTCCTTTCCAGAGCTTACCCCGTGCGGGATGATGTAGGTCCCTGCTGGGGGATCCCTGCAGACCCCATGGGGGTCCCCCGCTGCCCCCACCTCCATGGCCTGGGCTGGCACGTGGGCGATGGGGCGAGCAGAGCTGCGGTGAGCAGCAGGACTCGTTGCTATAGCTGCTGCAGCTAAACAAACCCTCCCCGGAGCTTTGGCCAACGGAGAAGCATCCCTGGGCTGGTTTTTCCTGCTGGGTATCCCCAGGAAAACCACCCCCACCACGAAAGGCTGGGGGATGGGGATGGCTCATTTTTTGGAGCTTGCTTGTTTGCCAGCCTGCTTCCAGGTCACCTCCTCAGGAAATGGGTAAGCGAGGATGGGGCTGGTGGGATGCGCCTGCCCACCAGAGCATCCCACTCCTCACCATGCCACCTCTTCGACTGGGACTTACTGAAAGGGCCTTTCAAGCGCTGGTGGAAGCTGGAGGGACCAGGAGGCAGCTTAAGCATGTCCCTGCGGGGCTGAGCCGTGTCACCTGTGCCTGGGGTGGGGATCCGGGACCTCAGAGCAAACCTGGCAAGATGCTTTTGCGGGGAGCATTGGGAGATGGGTCTGGGTAAGAGTTTGGGATAGCTTCAGGTGTCAGGCTGAGATTGGATCTACAAGGCTCCGTGGTGCCTGCTGGAGACATTCCTGTGTACCACAGGTTTGGGGAACTCCACTGGTGGAGGGAAAAGGTCCTTCCACCCCATGGGATGTTCCGGTGCAGATCCCCCCATGCACAACCAAGGCATGGCAGCCCAGGACGTCGCTCAGCTCCGCCGGTGCCACCTGAGGTCTGGTCCCCAGGATGCCCGTGACACATCGCTGGGTCCCCGGGCTCCGGCTCCCAGCCTCATGGACCACTTCTCCAGGGATGCAATGACCAGCCACTGCATGCCCCCATGGACACTCAGGCAAGGCGTAGCACGAGCACGAATGGATCGCACCAGAGCCTGGCTCCAACCCTAAGGAAGAAATTCTTCCCTCTGAGGGTGCTGAGGCACTGGCACAGGTTGCCCAGAGAAGCTGTGGCTGCCCCATCCCTGGAAGTGTTCAAGGCCAGGTTGGATGAGGCTTTGAGCAACCTGATGTAGTGGAAGGTGTCCCTGCCCATGGCAGGGGGATTGGAACTGGAGGATCTTGAAGGTCCCTTCCAACCCAAACCATTCTGTGATTCTATGATCTCAGGGAAACACTGCGGCTGGGAACGGTGCGTCTGCACAAAATATTTAAGCTCCAGCAAACCCACTGCAATGAAAAACCGCTTTCTCGTCCAAAACAGCCCAACTTCTCACTGACCTCAGGTATCTTTCCTCCACCTCCATCAGCTGCGTTTCCCCAGACTGCTCTTCTGGGAGATTATTTCCATCAATATTACATCCAAAATCCACCATCCACCAATAACGCAAATCTGGGAACTTTCCCAGGAACTCAGCCAGCCCTGCTCACCAAGCAGGAACAGAAAACTCCAAAAACTCTTGTTCTGCCCCAAAATGGCTCCAGAGACACCCCCAGATGCCAGGGGAGGAGCTCTGCGAGGCCGGCTGCCTTCGCCCCCACCCGTTGGCTCCAGTCGAGCTATTTTCCGCTTGATTAGATTTTACTCTATGTTCCTAATTTCTCCAAGCCCCTGCGGATTGTTTCTGTGCCTTTTGTTGTAACTCCCAAATTCCCATTATTTGCACATTTAATTACTGTGCTGATTACTCCCTGCTTCTGGCAGAGCCTGCCTTGCTCTGAGCAGAGCCCTGGTGTCCGTCTTGCTGGTGCTAATATTGTTCTTGTCTGTAAGAAGGATTCAAGGTCCAGGGCGAAGGGCTGAGCAGCATCAGGAAACCTTCTGCCTGTGGTGGGTCAACAAGGGGACACAAGGGACCTGCTCGGAATGTCCTCAGCGCCCCCTCCACGGCAGCCTGAACCCTTTTGGGGTGTTATTATCTGCCCTCCAGTGCAACCTGCAGCCCTGATGCATCATCAGCTGCTAGGGGATGGATGGATGGATGGATGGATGGATGGATGGATGGATGGATGGATGGATGGATGGATGCTGAGTGGCATGACCATTTTGGATGAGGCTTTGAGCAACCTGGTCTAGTGGAAGGTGTCTCTGCCCATGGCAGGGGGGATGGAACTAGATGATCTTGAAGGTCCCTTCCAACCCAAACCATTCTATGATTCTGTGATCATGAGGGCTGACTGGGAAAACGTGGTCCAGACACAGGGAAATGCAAGTGTTGAGGGATGTGGGATAGGGATAGAGAAAGGCAGCCATGGCTGTGCTGTCCCCAGGACACTGCCCAGAGACACCTTCCAGAGGTAGAAATGACCCTCTGGCTGGATATACCACCTCTTCTTACCGAGGAGGTGGGGTGGGGTGAGGACACCCATCAGCCAACTCACCTGCACAGGGGAGAGGCAACAGCCCAGGCCCAGCTTATGCTTCCCATCTTGGCGTGCTTGGTGGTGGGACATGAGTCATTCACATGTGTATCGTGGAAAACCAGGGCTCAGGAGGGATCAGAGGATTTTAAAGTTCTGGTGAGGATGGTCCCCACTGTCCCCAGTAAGAGCCACCTTGCCAAACCCAGCCCCAGACTGAGATGTGTGCCAGCAGACACCCTGAGGATTCTCAGCAGATAATTTTACTCGCAGCCCTTCACTTTGGAAGCTCTCGTGCCCCTCTCTTCCTGCAAGTC